CGGCCCCAGGCTTTTTGACAGTGAAATGTTTTTGTAACTCGACACGTTTAATTGATGCAACTCACTGATTATGATTAAAAGAGCACCAGCTTCAGCGTGAAGTCTGACACCTGATAGCATTTCCTGGAAATGTCTAACCATGATGACATTCAGACACCTGTGAGAGAGAGAATTGTGTGCAGGCACAAATTCTGGAAAATATTTAAAAACATTCAAAAGGACATTAATATCTGTCATGCTAAACTGAAAGAATTAAGAATAAAACATGTTCTTTATTTCATCTGCAGAAAAACAAGTAAAACAGGTGAATAAATAACCAGAAACATGGTGGTCATCATCAGCGTGATCTATAGTCTTATTGTGCGAAAATGAAAATAATCTTTTTAGCACTCCACGAGTTTTCAAATAGCCACCAAAAGGCACAAAAATGTGACGTAAAAATCCTAAAAACTGATGATTAAAGTTTGAATTTGGAAAGAAGAAGCATGGTGGACTAGTTTAGCCAAGGAAATTAAAAAGAAAGGGAAGTGAGCACCTTATCCACATTTTCAAACTAAAGGGGATGAAGTGTTTTAACAAATGGAGACCATTAAGATGCTGCAAAGAAAACAAAAGTTGTGTTAAACAACCTGAACTCTCCATTCAGCCTGACTGGGCTGCACATTCTTCTGCAAAGCTATGAAACAAACTTCCAGAGAGAATACAGTGTAAAGGTCTTTTTAAAGGTAATTCCCATCCAGAATAAGGCTGCTATAACTTCATTCTGGGACTGCAGCTTCAGCATGTCCCCGTTTCGGTTGTGATTTATGGCTTTAGGTGTTTTGTGCGGTCGGCGTCATTTTTGTGGTCTTGTTGGAGGTGAGAAGCAGACTCTGTGTGGATTGTAAAGATCATTTAAAGGCAGCTTGATGAAACTTCCTCAGGCTACCATGAGTAAGAGCCAAACAGAACTGGTTACTGCTGTTGGTCCCGTGACTTGAAGTCCTGAGGCGTGATTTAAAAAACTCATGTCATTTGTCTTTAACATGACTTAAAAACAATTAAAAATGAACTTGAACTAAAAGCTGCATTATGTAATATTTTGTTAAAATAAAACAGTCGCTCAGCTCAGAGTAATGAAGCGCATCGCTCCTGCAGCCGACTCCCACACAACTGACTATGCACGAGGTGTGCATTTTGCTGATTGCTGTTCCTCTAACAGCCACATGGGGCGCTCTCTGTTAGCAACAAACTCGCCAGAGCAGCTTTAAACGTTATAATTTGTACTTCTCAGATTTGTGTTATAGTTGTTAGTTAACTTTTTAATGCGTCATGACCGTTAGTGGCTTGTCTCAAACGATCCATGGGAACTTAGCTGCTGCTCCATCGTCATCTCACAGGTGACGAAGAATCAGATTCAGCTCTCAGCGGAGGAGCCTGCTGGAGTCTGTGGGAATGACTCTGTTTGGATGACTCTGGCAGTGACAGCTAGCAGGACGCCTGTCGTCCACAAAGCTGGACGTGAATGAGAAGCCTTTAGCACACATGCAAGCATGTGGCCATCAGCATACACACTGGGAAAACAAAAATACAAGCGAGAGCATCAGGGCACGCCGGGGGGAGGGCTCACATAGGGCCCAGTTTCTCCCATTGTTGTTCCAGTTGTGGGACACTCGGGTCACACAGCTGCAGGACTGGCCTAATACGTGACTGGGAAAAACGGGAAGATGATAAGGAGGAGTGTATAACAAGAACAAGGAGGGTTTCAGAGAAAATATGATTTCAGAAATGTTTATCAAATATTAAAATTTAAGAGTTTAATCTTTTCAGTGTTTTAATATAAGTAGATTTTTATCTTTTCATTTCCACATGTGTTTTCTTTTTTTTATTCTAAAACTTCAATGCTTTGCGCTGTTAGCTAACTGATGTGTCTATTTAGCACTTCCATTAGCTTCCACTGCAGCTGCTGTCAGCCTTGCTTATGATAAACACACAATATTGCTATAATTAATTTCTGATGCTCAACAGATGACACCGTTTACAGTAAACATACCTGACAGCTCAGAGCCAGCTTCACAGTTGGTTATCCCTGAATTATTCTCCGTGCATAAATCTGCTTCACACAGCTATTAGTCTCAGGATGGATGGAAGCAGACATGCTCCTCTGATATCAACACAACCTGCACAAGACAGCTCAAGTGTAAAGTGCACTAACACACAGTCACAACTTTTAACTTTTGCTAAAGCCTCCACGGAGCAATTACCGATCACTTAACTGCACCTGAGCTACTCTGATTTGCCCCCCCCCCAAACGTGCTTTTAGAGCTATGGTAACTATTAGCTGGGGTTAAGGTTAGGAACAGACCAGTATTGGTTATATTTAGGATCAGGCATAATTCAGCCACTAAAATGATGTCTGGGCATGACTCTGTAAAATAAAAATCAGTGGTGGGAACCTCCCATTTTTGGCTTCACTTTGCCCCCCCCCCCCCCCCCCCCCCCCCCCGACGGAGCAATGGTCAGGCTATGTCCGAATTTTATACATCAATGGTTTTAACCCATAAAGTGAGGACATTAGTTAAAGCGTGGGGGCATTTAGCCTGATCCTAACCTTGTTGTTACTGAGCTCTTTTAGGTTTTCTGTGTGTAAACAAAGTTTTTGGGTCAAGAATAGATCATTTTGTTTCAGGTTAGAGTTACACGCAACAAAGTCACTAAGATGACTGAAAGTCAGTGATAGTCTACTATTACCAGTAAAAGAAGTGTGTGTGTGTGTGTGTGTGTGTGTGTGTGTGTGTGTGTGTGTGTGTGTGTGTCTATAATAATACAATACTTTTCACAACATATGTGCTTAAAACACTATCAGTCTTGTTTGTAATTATAATTAAATAAACTGACAGGATAAAAAAAAGTTCTATTAAATCAGCCAGTCAGCACTTGCACTTTTGCCCTTTCTGCACAGATTCAGATAAAAATGAAATTATCACTTGACACCATTGGATATTAAACACTTAACCGTCCTTCCAAAGCTCGTCTGGATTTGTCCGTCTGTCTGCCAGCACATGCACAGACATCGTCAGCCATGCATGTGAGGCGGCTGTCTGAAGAGATGTAATTAGGGGGGACTATTTGCTGCAGCAAAAACAAAAACAACAGGCACACTGGCTTTGCAGCTTGTTTGCTGAAAGACAATAATTCTGGGTTTCAGTGACGTCAACCTGCTAAATCAAAGATCAGGTTTCAGCACGCAATGGTTTCCTTGTGTGAAAGAATTTAAAGTAAAAAGAATTCCATGTTTAAATAAATAAAGTTCTGTAGACCCAACATGATACAGTTTGATGATTGTGAATCCATTTCTTCACATGCTGTAGTTGAAGTCCAAGCGTTCCCATCTGAAGAGCAAAAGAAAGGAACTAAATAACGATTGTGACAAACGATTGCTAAACACTGAACTGCGTGAACCTGAGGTTCCACTCCCACATGTAAATAAAAAAATGACTGTGTGTTGACAGAGAGATGGTTTGGTGAAGCTGAGCCAAACAAACATTGTATTGCATAATCCCATTAATCTAGATTGTCCAAAAACATGTTTTTCTTCCAAAGTGCACGCTATCTTGTAACATTTCAATCTGTTGCCTGAAGCTTCCCACAGAATACAGAAATGGGGTTCACCCTGCTGACGGCCTGTAAAGCTCTGCAGACTGGATCCAAAGTCAAATGGCACAACATCCAACCTGCCAGCAGACAGGATTAAACTCAGACAGAGGTGTGAGGTGTTATGCAGAACTGTTAAACTGGAGAGAGGCGTGCTATTTGTCTATTTAAGTGTGGCTTAATAATGCAGTTAAACCTTCTGTAGCAGTAATCGTTCTCCAAACCAACAACGTCCACGATGACAAAAGAGGATTAATCCAGCTGAATTTCAGAGGATCTTTTAACACGGCACACATAATTAGTAATGTTACATAAGGAGCCATGTGCTGGTTTATCTGCCTCAGCTTGCTCTTATTTGCATATTATGGCAAGTCAAAAACTAAGTGCCAACATGTTTGCTGTTGTTTTACGTCTCTGGAGTGCTACTGTTGGTGATACATTTCACTTTCCAAAACTGTTATGAAATATTTGCATGGTTCTATTGCTCGTTACCCGAATGCAGGGTCCACTTTGTTGTTTTTCTGGGACTTTTAGCGTGTTGACCAAATTTGCAAGACAAAGTTCCTCTCAGCACAGTCATGGAGTCTTCACAGGTTTCTTGAGCACTTTCTTCTTCTTTCTTCTTTCGGTCTTTATTTTGTTTATATCATTAACATAAAATTTTTCTTTTCAAACAAAACAACAATATTAACAACTTGAATTTAAACCAAAACAGGAATAGGCAGAAGCAATGCTTATTTTAGCCTACCCTATTTTCCACCTAAGGTACATAACCAATATACATTTCTTTTATTTTCCCCAATATAAATAACCACAATGAAAATTCATTAATGTCTATACATACTTTTCATACCCTGTAAATATGTGACACTTTACACCTGATTTAAACTTTAGTAAAGAAGTACATTTCTTCAAATCATCATCTAACTCATTCCACAATTTCACACCAACAATGGAAACACAGCTTGATTTCACATTAGTTCTGGCTTTTACACATTCAAACATAAATACACCTCTGAGATTATAATGATCATCTCTTGGTTTGAAATAAACTTTTATGCAATTTGGGATATTATTATTAACTACTTTATGAAGAATCTCTAAGATTTTTACTTTAATAATAGCTCCTAATTTTAGCGTTTTAGTTTGACTAAATAGATTATGGGTTGGTTCGAGGTATCCCAATTTATTAACTATTCTAATCACCTTTTTTTGTGATTTAAATACAGTCTCAACACACGTTTTACCTGCATTTCCCCAAACCTCTGCACAGTAAGACAAATAAGGCATAACTAAAGAGCAATAAATGAAAAACAAGGCTTTTTCTCAGCTCAGTTTCCATAAAAGAAGCAGACTAAGAAATAGAACATTTTGGAAGAGGGGTCTGCAACCTTTCAAAATGAGATGCGATTTAAAAAAATCCACAGTCAATTACCTGACATATTATTCATGGGCAATTACTGTTCACCCGCAGTAACAGGCCAGTGAGATGAGGTTTTCAGAATAACTAGCACAAGGTGGGTTCCTAACTTTTACAAGTTTATTTTCTCTTACATCTCAGCGCTGTTTTATTTATTTCTGCAAACAAATCAAGGTATGAAAATTGCCATTTTTGCTTTCCATAAGTGCAATTACTGAAGGAACAGACTGTCCAGCGTTGCTGAGATAAAATAGTCGGTGCCATTTCTCCGTGACTCATCAGCCTTTGTTTGCCTCTGGACTGGAATCACATCATACAAGTGTCAGTCTGAGCATGGCACTCACCATCATGGCTGCATGAGCCAGAGGTCTTGCCCTGTCTGAATTGTCTCTTTGTGCGCTGAGAACACAGTTGTCTGTGAAGCACAACAGCAGACGAGTCAAGGAGCTCACGCAGCAACTTCAACTGAACGCCAGGATGGGACAGTCTCAGACACGACCTGCTGGAGCGGCCCTTTCTGGGGCCAGGCCGCCCTCTCCCAGGACGTCGGCCACCCTCCATGTGTCCGAGCCCTCTCAGAGGTTCTATTACTACCACCAGCACTTTCCTTTCAGCTTTCCTGAAAGGCTTGTGAGCTACTCACCCCCTTACTCGCCGAGTCTCTTCAGGAGGCCAGATCGACGGTAAGATTTCACCTTTTGTGCAGCAGGACGTTTGGTAGGGTGCTGACATGGGACTGACGCCTCAATCACGCCGAGTACGGAACGGACACGGTCCGGCTTCTGAAGAGACCAAAAATCATTGAGTCCTATATCACAGCATTTACACCAGCCGTGATGTGGATCCAGATGTGGAGCTCCGGAAAGTTTCCGCACGCCGTCTGATTTTTCCAGATGCTGCATGTTGATTTTCATAAAGTTAAAGAAATTGTGTAATCCAGGCAGGAAGTGGGATTTTTTTTTATTAGTAACTGCAAAAATATCAGTACACAGTATGATCATTCACAGCATCTTAAAGAGTTGAACACCATCGTCTGAATTTCCACTAATGATGAATTCAGACAAAGTGAACATTTTCATGCACGCACCGCTGGATAATTATCACCTTCCTGTCAGAATTCTCAATACGCACAACGTCTAAATATTCCACCACACATGACACGTATTACATCCAATCTATGGGCAGAGACTCATCGCTCTTTCCATTTATTTCAACATCTCACGAGGATGACCAAAACCACAAGCCTCCTTGTCATTGGTCGCTCAGAACACTAAAGATGTGATAATGACCGCCTCTGGGTGTTGTGGTGTACAGAGATTGTTTAGTATTCAGCATCGTTGCCCACATGGGTGGCTTCCTTTGAGATAGCCTCTGGCTGCAGACTTTGGCGGGGATGTCAGGCCACACAGGTCATTCTCTGCAAAGTCTGAGAAAAAAGAGAGAAATGCTTCTCTTATAGGTGAGTTTTGTGTAGATTTGATCCATTGAGTTTCTTGCAGTGAGTTTTGCGTGTCAGAACCTTCGATTGCCAGCCATGGGTCCCGTTCTTTTTTTAGCCATCATTGCAGTTTTATATAACAAGTCTGGCTCTTGTGCGCGGGACATCTGATGGAAACTGCGGCCCGTCGGCTGGCTGCAGTGTGACTCACTGAAACTGGCACAAACACGAGCAGGCACACAGAGTTCCCCATAAATGTGAGCCACTAGATTTTTGGAGAAGGCACGACACCTCGGTGTGGAAATGGACTTCTGTAAAACGAAATTAAGATGTTTATGTGATGATTAAACATCTTTCAAGCAAGATTTATTATACAACCTTGAGTGAATGTGCTAAAACAGTCAAATTAGTTCATTTATTCTGCATTTTGTGCATAGGCTTTGTTTAAAGTGTATATTTTGTCTTAACTTGAGGTGCTGAGTGCTTATTTTAGTGGTGAATGCTAACTCACCTGCTTCACTTTGCTAGAACAGCGCTTGGCATAAAACCTGCAGGTCCACAGTCACACAATGAAATCTGAGACGGCAGCCTCTGTAGGCCCTCATACTCCGTCTATGTGCTGTTGTTATTAAAGAGAAAATCGTGTTAAGGCTCCCAGGTGTCAACCATTTACCTCTTATTGCTTGTTACATTTAGCAATACATTCTCAGAGATCTGAGTATATTGGACTTTGGTCATATGTCATTATTTATAACGCAGATAGAATTTTTTACTCCATTGCAATCTTGCGGGAAATTTCCGTGGAGAGAAATTCTGCTCACATTAATCTAGTGTAAACAGAAACACCACTAATCTTATCCAAACATTAGTTAAATGTACTAAAAATCATTCGATGGGTTGTTTTGAATGCAAATGAGCCAAAACAAAGTCCTCCAAGAAAACGCCATCACAGCTGTTGGCAGCTTGGCCTTATCCTACTAGTTAGGGCGTTGGAAGAAAATGTCTTATCCAAAGGTGTTTTTAAAATAGAGGACTGGCTTATCATAGCAATTAAAACTGTCAACAGAAGAGAACACTAGTAGGGAGCCAAAAGTGTTGGGCAATTACTTGGAAGGTGTAAAATGGTGTTTAAGAAGAAATGTTTTGACATTAAATGTGCTTTATCAGCATCACACTGTTCACAATCTGCTTATTACTCCTCCGCAGACTCTGAACAGTTGCGTCACACGTGGAAACGGGTGCAGAATGTTACCAGAAAGTGTAAAAGTTCAAACCTGACCAGACTTAATTCCTAAAGCAAACTCTTTAGGAAGTAAATAGTAAAAATGTGTTCAAAGGGGTCACAGCACATGCACATGTATGTTACTTAGACATAATATTTACACTATTTAACTAAAAAAAACAACAGCTTTACAATGGAAATACCTCTAGAAGTGTGACACACAAACATTACACAATGTGCCTTGTTCTTGTGTTGCTGTGTGCAAACATAATTTAAGAAAGGGGTTTAACCTCCTGTGTCCACATATGAGAACATTTCTTCAACTTAGACCTTTTTTTTTTGTTATTTAGAAATATTTGATATTGAATTAAACATATCTTTTGTTTCAGTTTTTTCCTAGGTAACATGTCAATATTTTTATTTATTGTATTTTACATCACACCAAATACAAATTCGGGTCTCAGGAGGTTAAGGAAAATCCCCCAGAAAAACGGAGGGTTCTTGAACCTTATGAACCGGTGTGTTGCAGGTTGTAATCTGCATGTTGACCACTAGAGGGCAGAACAGTTCACATATACAATAGAAGGAAATTCACCAAAATATGGCACGGAAAAATACCTATATGATACATGCGTGCACGTGCCGGACAATGATAAACAATATGGCCTCGAGGACAGAATGTTTTTGTTATTCCTGTGGAGCCCATCATGTCAAGGACACCCGGTGAAGCACTTTGTAGGTCACTCATAACAGACGTTCACGTGGCAGATGGGATTAAATGAAACTATTGATTCTAGATTAAATGAAGATTCTAATTCACTTGTAAATCAAATTGGATAAACTCTAGCAGTTTCACGTGATGACATCAAGTCTTAGTTTCCAGCTGTAGCCGCTTGTTTACGCACACTAGATGCGGTTAGAAAGGTTCATTATGTTAAAACAACTGGAGCAGTTGTCGGTCTGTGGGTTAACTGCACGACTGCCTTTAAAGTGCACAAGTTCATGAGGAGCACATGGGATGCTGCATTCCATCCCTCTTAAAAAAAACTCGTCTTTTCTGACCACATTTCTTTTTCGGTAAATTTTAATTAAAGAAAAATGCAAAACATGTAAATGTGAAAATGTGTGTGTGTGTGTGTGTGTGTGTGTGTGTGTGTGTGTGTGTGTGTGTGTGTGTGTGTGTGTGTGTGTGTGTGTGTGTGTATATATATATATACACACACACACACACACACACACACACACACACACACACACACACACACACACACACACACACACACACACACACACACATATATCATTCACTGCTGTTGCACTCCATTCCTTGTTTTTTCATATTTTACTTTTAAAATAAAATGTTGTGAACGTTAGTCTTATTTATTTGCAAAATGCTTCTTAAAGTAACCCGAAATCATGACATCAACTGTGTTGCATTTTACATTCTGAATTTGCAGTCTAACCTATAGTTTATTAGCAAGGAAACTTTTGATGAAATTAAAATGCATATCACAAATAAGTTAGCAAAAGCAGCAGCGTGGTGTTTAGTTCCTTGACTACCAGCTGGGAACACCATGTGCTTTGTGTATTATAATTTGATTATGTAAAGGCCGAAGTGGGGGGTGTTTTTATCAGTTTTCAGAAACGAGCGTAGTATTGTTTTTTTTTTTTCTGCCAGCACTGGAAGGTACCCGGAGTTCTGCTTCTTCGCCCCTCCCTCTACAAGCTCATTGGTCCAAATCCGGCGCGTCCGATGACGTCAAGGCAGCCGTACAAATACGTGCCCGTTGCAGAAAATAGCATCAGACAGTCGCTCGTTAAAGCCAGCGAAGCTTAGACCTTTGACACAGCACTGGAGCTCAGGCGTTAGCGAGCCAGTGCATCGCTCCTAGAAACGGAACCGAACCCGGAACATAACTTCGTTGACCAGCCAATCGCAAACGTGGCGAGAAGCATATTTCAAACGAGTTTGGTACTGAACATGAGCACGGAGATGTTCGCTAAAACCCCCATGGAGGTAGCCGTCTACCAGCTGCACAACTTCTCCATCTCTTTCTTCTCCTCGCTGCTCGGGGGAGACGTCGTCTCGGTCAAACTTGACAACAGGTAACTTGGCGAAGTCGTTTAGTTATTGATGTTTTCTGGTTTATCCTCCAATCTGAGTCAGTTTACAGAGTTTTAAATGCGTCTCGTGCCGCAGCGCTACCTGAAACAACCCGACACACACCTCTGACCCAGATAACCGTTCCTCTGTTTTGCACTCTCTCTGTTTCTCTCTCTTGTTTGGATAATAACTTGTTATAAACAGCTGATTTATGGTCGTTGTTTTCTGTTTTGCAGTGCCTCTGGTGCTAGCGTTGTGGCCATTGACAACAAGATTGAACAGGCAATGGTAAGCTCACACACACACACACACACACACACACACACACACACACACACACACACACACACACACACACACACACACACACACACACACACACACACACACACAAAGCACCTGTCAAAACGTTAAAACCATTAAAAACTTAAAAAAAACTGTAATGTACTAATATGTTACAGCAGAATGTTTTGTTTATCACTTCAAATTGACCACACTTGACATTATTGCTGAATTTCTTGACTGTTTTGTGTTCAGAGTGAAACTAAAAAGCTGTTCGTGACCAACTTCCCTAAAATAAATCTTCCAAATGGAGTCAGTGGGAAGTCCCTGCATGTGTATCATCATTTTAAAGTAGAAACCATTCCAAAAAGATGCGAAGGTCGGGCTAGATTAGCTGTCTTACTCTGAAGAGTTGCCCAAACAAGCATATTGGGTGTCATTTAATGAGAAACTTGGCGTCCTTTGTTTGAGAAGCTGCAACATTTGCTCCTGTGCTCCTTTTGAAACTGATACATATATCTGTTTTGTTGTGACAGGATCTCGTCAAGAACCACCTGATGTATGCCGTGCGGGAGGAGGTGGAGATCCTCAAAGAGCAGATCAAAGAGCTGGCAGAGAAGAACAACCAGCTCGAGAGGGAGAACTACCTGCTCAAGAACCTGGCCAGTCCGGAGCAGCTGGAGAAGTTCCAGTCCCGCATCCCGACGGACGTGCTGTCACCCCTGGACAATCAGAACGTCCAGCTGAGCCCAGAGCAGCATCAGCAGCAGAGCAGTCACCACAGCGCTGGCTCTGCTGTATAAGTGGCTCTGCCTTGGGGCGGGCAGAGCCACCCTTCTGCATTAATTGGCATTGCCTCGTATACAGTGCGCGTGAAGAGGAGGACCTCCTCCAGTAATGGACCTCGATTTAAACGCCAATAAAATCTCCGCCACCTGAGACCTCTTCGATACAGTGGAGACGCATCGGGGGCTGCAAGTGACCGATGGGACACAAACGAACTTGACTGAAGAGCACAAACCAGAACTAAAGACATTCTGACTGGTGCCGGGTCAGGCCTGTCCTGAAGCGCTGTCCAGCTCTTTGTCATAGTCTCCATTTGTAGGCACAGGTGTAAAGGCTAGAGAGGGCAGACTAGACACAGATGAGTGCTCCCTCTCACAGGAGAGAGGGGAGGTTCCCCTCTTCTCTGCCCAAACTCTTCCAACAAGCACCCTTCACTCTGTGGGGGGTGGGGAGGTGCTGATTGGGCTCGCCCTGCAGACGCTAAACCTGGAACATCTGGGAACTTTGCTCCCTCAGGATCCAGTGGAGACCCATCTGAGACAGTCCTCCAAGTCCAAACAGTCCCGCCGCGTGGATGTAACTCATATCAAAGCACACGTTGTAAAGGCTTGCACTTATTTGCTCTACCTGCAGCGAATTTCCGATGTGTTGCTATGAAACAAACCCCACGAGAGAAGTGGAGGTTGACACATTTCTGATGGAGCGATCAGTATCCTGTAATGATTCATCCTGTACGGTTAGCAGTCGGGGCTTGCTGCTTTTGGGCGCCTTTGATGTTAAAATCTGCTTTATCGGTTTGTAATCCTGAACAAAAATCAGTTTGTGCGTTAGGATCAGTTTTAACAGCTGCTTTTGTAACCCATTGGGCCGTGTTGTTCAACCAGCTCACACAACTACTGCTAGTGGCCTGTAAGCTCCCAGCCCTGATTCTCTTTAGCAGTGTCATCTCGGATCCAGTCTCTTTGTTTTATTTCTTGCTTGGATGTCAACTTGAAAAACAAGGGCGCAGCAGGAGTGCCTGTTCAGTAGGAGAGGATCACATTTCCAAAGTGACTTTGGTTATCGATGTTTTGTAGCTACCAAAGACGTTGCTATTTTTTTATTAGATTTTTAACACCGTAACAGAAGCTGCGTGAACCAGGACCATGTGTGAAATCGCACAGGGAGAAGTATTGCCTGACGCTAGTGCTAAAGGTTCTGTAAAGATGTGGGTATTGTTGCTGTAAAGTATCCTGAGAGCTGTTGTACACTGGTGTTTTGGATACAACTGCACATTTGCAATAAACCATATGTTTACATAATGCATTACAATTCTGGCTTTTATTTACCGATGCAACGATACGTTAATGCACACCGGGGAGCGCCGTCAAAGCTACGTTACGTAATGGCTGAGTGGCTTTGCGTGAGACTCGTTCATGATTTCTGAGGTAGATTATTAGTTTTTGATTTTCGGAGTATATGATCAAATGCTATCATATATTCTTGAATTTTAGGTGATTTAGTTACAAAACTTAGTTTTTATTCTCTTTTTTTAAAAAGTCCACCCCATTGGCAGCGTGTCATTCATACGGTTTCTGCTCACGAAGGCATCCTGGAGCTATCCCAGGCTTTCCCAAAGTCATTTTTGTCCTCTTAGTCATTTTTGAGCATTAAGTAAGCTCCCTACTGCCCAAATGAGAAAAACAGCAGAACCACTAATGATAGTGAAGTAATAATAGCTGCGCTGCCTGTGAACTGGGATCTGAGAGAAGGAAACACACTTTGTACAAGGAGCGCCTTCCTTCAGACGGCCTGGCAGACTGAGTGTAATCAGATCTGTTGTGGCTTCCCCGGTGTGCAGACTGGGCTCACATCCACCCGCTGCTGAAAACAAGTCAACTCCAATCCAAGTGCCTCTGAATTCTCCGTAGGACCGAGTCAATACCTGCTCTGAAAGAAGTTCTGGAATCAGCCAACTGCAGAACGGATCTTCATTTTGTCTGAAGCACACAGATGAAGGCAAGAGGTAATGGCCTCATTTGCATGAGGCAATTCAGCCTGATTCCATAGAGTGAGCACCAAGAGCACTGCAACGACTGCTTTGCACAGAAGTTTTGAAGCCAAAAGCACAAAACTAAACTCGCAATAGCCACCAAGTGAACAAAAGATGTTTGAGAAGGTCTTTGATCTGGAAGTTTCAGCACACATTGCTGGAAAGTTGGAATAAGAACTGTGTGATGTTGAGATCGTGGCAGGGTCCAGCTGGGCAGGTCTTCCAGCTATACAAGGTTGGTTTGATATATGGACACTTTCATAACAGCAGAAGGCAGAGTTGCAGTATAATTACACTTATATTCATGGATAATACAATCATAAAGGAAAGATCTAATCTGGTTTAAGCATTCCCAAGAACGAAGACTCCCCAAAAGCCAGAAAGACATCCAGGAATTTGGCTTCATTTGTTAAATGCTCGGTTCTATTTTTAGGGTCTGTTTTAAAAACTCTGTGTTCCAGAGACACTTTACTGACTTCTATTTGAGACTGAGCGATAAAAAGTTTCCACACATTGTTTATAAATGATATCACACAGGCAAATACCACTGAGGACACGCTAGTCCTTTTTTTAAAGATGTGTTTACTGTGTAGCAGCTATTTACAGTTTTGCTCTCTGTGCTCAAGAGGTAATCTGCATGCATTTTAAAAACCTCTCCACACAAATCCGACATGAAATCATTAGAAAGGTTGTCAGTTTTCACTCTTGTTACTAAAGATTTCTAAATAAGGATCTTATGATCAACAGTCATCTCACTCATGCAGGGAGAATACCTGCTGAGGCTTGGTGCATGCTTTAAAAATCTTTTTTTCTTATCTGTAGTTTGCAGGAAATTTCCTAAAACTTGTAAAATGAAAAAAAAAAAGAATATCTGAGAGAAATTCTGAAAAATCCTACATCTCTTCCTGTAAAGTTTGGTTAAAAGTTAAAATCCGTGTGGACTTAAACGTTAGACTGAAGCTAGAAGGCCAAACGAGGAGTTTTTATTGGATTACCAGTGTTATGCAACACACACACACACACACACACACACACACACACACACACACACACACACACACACACACACACACACACACACACACACACACAAATAAAACATCTGTTTCGAATGGAAAACCGGGGGTGGCTCTCAGCGTGGTCGGGTTTGCATGCATGGGAACGATTTAGTCAGACTGGTTTTTATGCAGTCATGCACAACTTGCGTGTCTCCAGTGGTCAACACATCCAGCTTGTTAGCGTTACATGTGAAGATAAGTGAAATAAATGTCAGAAATGGTCACAAGATGTAATGAGCACATTTCTGGAAATTGGGAGACGTCGCTCTGGTTTTTCCAAAGCAAGCAGTTCAAAGGAGAGTGTATTACTCAAGATAGTTATGTAAGAAAATAACACTTACACACACACAGAGAAATTGGTTTCTTGATCCAGGGATGAAGCAATTTACACAAATTAAAGCAGGTGACTGAAATCATCCATTCAATGAGAACAAAAGTGTTCTGGGGGTTTATTCCTTAACTTCTAAGTGTTGATACACACACACACACACACACACACACACACACACACACACACACACACACACACACACACACACACACACACACACACACACACACACACACACACACACACACACACACACACACACACATTTATATAGCCGCTGTGCTTTACAGGTCCAAAGACCATGCAGAGCTATGAGACTAACACACACGGCCTAACCCAAACCCTGTTGGTCCCCTACTCATCATACCCTATTTAACAGTCATGAGCCATTCTGGGTCACATTTCTGATAGACATTTGTGTTTTAGTCATAAAGCAGAGGAAATACAGGTAAGGTGTCAGGTGTTTGTTTTGTATAACTATCACGTTTGTGTTCATGATTCCACGCCGCATTAGTGAACAGACACAAGATCAAATGCCTACAGATTAAAGGAAGTCCTGGTTTTATTTATACGTGATCCAGATTAGGCAAAAAACAAAACAAGACAAAAAATTTAACATAAATGGCAGTAATGAGGAAACACAAAGTAACTGTTTCAGAACTCAACATGGAAAGATTTGATGAATCTAAAATGATCACAAAATGACCAAAAACCCTACAAAAAAATTAAACCCAAACACTTAAAGACAAGCAAATTACACTGCAAATAACAATGAACAGCTGCCAAAAAATCATAGAAAACTACAATTATTATCAGTTTTACACAAAATAACTGAAATTCCAGCCACAAAAAGATGTAAAGTGAGCAAAATAAACACAAAGTCATCAAGTTGGGAAAAAAATACAACTTATAAAATAATATACCGTAAATCCTCTAATATTAGCCTGTATTTAATTAACTGCCGGGTATCATATTTTGGCCGGTGTCGGAGTCGGCGGAGGTGAATAATGGCCGTTTTTTTATTGTGGCCGGGTGGAATGTGGTAACAAGCAAGTACGGGGGGCGGTTGTGTCATCCGTCTCACTTTTGATTTGCCAGTGACAGACCGCGAGGGTAACTTTAACCGTGCGGAGACGAAGAGGAGGCGAAAATTTGATATCAAGTTCAAAGAGAACGTGCTGATTATGCTGCAGAACACTCTGGGGAGCAGTAGCAGGGGTTGTATGAACTAGTCACTAGTCGACTTCACCGCTCTATAGTGACTTTTTATGCCTGTCATCGACTAGTCGCTGTCACGTGATAATGACCGGCAAGATGCAGTCCACGGAAAAGACAGCAGCCTGCTGTCAGCAGGTGACAAGCTCCTGCGCGTCGGGAGGCAACGCGATGTGCCAGAGCGTCGGCACTGACACCCGCCGTAAAACGGACATTTAACCAAATTGTGACGTTTACCCTCTTGCAATTTAACCTTCCCCTCACCCCCATCCTAACCTTAACCAGCTTGCGCATGCAAAGCTCTGATTGTTGACGCGCTCCAGACATCTACGTCCTGAGCACGGCCACAGTAACATTATCAAATCAGGTGTCGCCACCTCAAAAACTAATTTGACACGCGATCATTCATGTCAGATCATTTCCTTTTATGTTTTCTGTCTTTTATTCTCTTATTTGTGCCTGATGCGTTTTGCTGCTGTGGATCGGGGCGCATCACCTCTTTTGTCCACGGTGACGCACCTAACTGATGTGGCCGGCAAGCAACGAGCACTCCACTGTTTTTGGTCGGTAGATCTTTTAGAACTGCAGCTCAAAGGTAACTCATAAGGTGAATATATATGAACCCAGGTAGCAGTTTTTCTTTAAGATTGAGAGGAGATGCAGGAAGATAATAAACAGAGACAGGACAGAAAAATAGTCAAATAAAAACAAGTTAGTTTTTGTACCTGGTGGTTGCAACAAACATACACCATTGAAGGTAATCAGAAGTGAGGAACAGAAAATGAAATAATTATTTTAATGTTTAGAGCAGCAGGAACTCCGAGAGGCTGCAGGCGCATCAGTGAGTTTGCGGCGCTGCGCAGGAGGGGGGTGGGGGGGTGGGGTGGGGGGGAGGGCTGAAGCAGAAACTACCGTTGTTAAAAGAAATGTGTTTAACTTTGAAAATGTGGGCGCAATTTTAATTGTCAAAAACTCCAGCGAACCATTAGTTCATATTGCTCAAATAGAAATTGAGGCCTGCCTCTAATTCGGGTCCTCCTTCCAATAAAGGCCTGGAGCTTGATGAGCTTGAGTCAAATACAGGCCCGGGCCTGTATTAGAGGATTTACGGTAACAAAAGCTTCTAGAAATAGTTCCTCGGAGATGCCTATTGGCTGTAATCTCACACAATGTCTTAAATAAAGTCATTAAAGGTGTAAATTAAGACACAAAGCCAATGAATTATAGGATCACTCAAGTTAGATGCAAAATAAATGAGTAATTGGTCTGTATTTGATAGCGTCTTCTAGAGTCTTGGAACCCCCATTGCTTTTTACAACACAATCATTCACAGTCATTCACACATTTATTCACAGTCATTCACACATTTATTCACAGTCATTCACACATTCACACGCTGGTGGGGATGAGCTAAGATGTAGCCACAGCTGTCCTGGGGCGCAATGGCAGAGGCGAGGCTGCTGAACACTGGTGCCACCGGTCCCTCCAACCACCACCAGCAGGCAAGGTGGGTTAGGTGCCTTCTCCAAGGACACAACGATAATGACAGACTGAGCGGGGCTCAAACCTGCAACCTTCCGATTACGGGGCGAGCACTTAACTCCTGTGCCACCATCTCCTACAGTAGTAACAAAGGTTTATCCAGGATGCAAAATAGGCCAAACGCAAA